ATCCAACCCGACATGCTGGGGTACCTGCTCCCTTCCCCGCGGCAAACCCTCCCTGGTTCAATCCACCTGCACGCCGCTTCTTCCCCCAACCGCCTTCCTTGCCCCGTGCAGACCTCACCTCTTCGTGTCCGAAGTCTCCCCCAAGGAGCACGGCCTGCAGAGCCGTGACCTGCAGCGCTGCCGCGAAGGGCCAGAGCCCCGAAATGCTCCCGAAACACCCCCGAAACACCCCAGCAGCAGCACGGTTGCCCCAGGCACCCGCTTCCCTGAGACTCCATTTCCCCTGGAAGGAAGCAGCAAGCAAGGCCGAGCGCATCCAGCGGCCAAAAAGTTTTCGTTCTCTTACACCGACCGTTTTGCTACGCCTATACTGTGACGGATTTTTGCACGGTATGGATAGGGAAAGGGGAAAGGGTTGGGGGTGTGAGCGGGCAAGGCTCGTAGGGACGGTGTCCTTCAGGGAACCAGCTGGGAACGGCCAGGAGCTTCCAGGTGCAAACTCTACTCCAGCTCCAGAAGATTTTGGCTGTTTTCAGGCTAAGCCATCGCCTGCTACGGGGAAAAGAGAGGGTTGCAAAGGGTGGAAGGTGCTTTCCCTGTGAAAAACAGACTTAGAGCCTGCGGAATGAGGGAAAGCGGAGCACCGGGAAAACCTGCGTCCCCCGAGACACCATCCTCAAGTCCCACAGGCCGGGAAACACCGAGTTCCTCGTCAGAAGAGTCACGGGGAGCAGCGAAGACTTCGCAAAAGTCTCACCGGCCGGGATAAACTGTGGGCCGGGCCGAGTAAGAAGCATACGGCCGAGCAAGAAACATTCCCGTTTCGCACTTCTTCCCCTCCCATGGGTTCCTGGCTCATCCACAGCCACCCACCGCGCGGTGACAGCAGCGGCCACGGCAGCACTCCGCTCCTCCGCGGTGGGTTCCCCCCCCTCCAAGCTTTAAGAACTGAGCCCGAGGCAATTCTGGAAATTCACTTATCTCAACCTGTAATTGAGAAAGCTATTTAATAAAGTTACTTAAACCCTGAGCGGGCTCGGAGCCGCGGCAGCTGATGAATATGCATGTCCTGGGATTTACATCTCGTGGCAGCGAGGACAGGATGTCAGGCAAATGAGTTATGAGAAGCGTTGCCGATGCAGATGTCCGCTCTGCTCCAACTTCTCGCTGCAATTCTCATCCTCGAAGCCGTTTTTGCCGTTCTCTTATTTGCATTGGAAATGTAGTAAGAAAATAATGTAACTTTACAGAAATTGGTGCTGTTTCTATGCAGACAGGAGGGACTCATACATACATCTGTAACAGAGCGGAGTCCTGACCGAGCGGCGGACAGAATAAAAATACGGATGTCGTGCCAAGCCCCTGTCAGGCCATGCAGTCTGGGGGTTCCCCAAAACCCCGTCTCCTTCCTCCATTTACCTTCCCAGCCCTTACCTGAACAAGGCTCGTGATGAGACAACGCACCGCAGACCTGCAGGAACAGAAAAGCTCCTGCTTTCACCCACCACTTCAGGTTTTTCTACTTTCAGAAGTGGGACCAGGAGCCTGGACCAGGACGGTCGATAGCTGCCGTTTCCCTCAGGACACACTAGGAAACCCGTTTGTTCAGATTTTGGAAACTTAATTAAAACGGACAAAACATTACTCTGGATTCTCTCCAGTTTGGAAGAGGCTGTGTAGGTGCAAGAGGTTAAAAAAGCAAGCCAGAAGCGGCCATACCTCACCTGCTCCGGGTCACCGACATCCTCCATTCCAAGCAGCTCCGGCGTTCCCAGTGGTGTTTCACCCCCAAATTGAACACGGCCAGCCCTAAGCCACGCCGACTGAGAGAGAGGATTGCGGTGTTTTTAAAATCCTCTCGTGCCGTCGGTGCCTCACGCAGGAAGGTTTTCAGATTCCCTCTGCTGCTCACGCACCAGAGAGGCAAAAAGTCTAAGAGGAGTCAGGGGACAAAGCGCCTCTGTCCGTGAGATGCCTCCACGGCGTTACGGATAAGGTGCTCGTGCCCTGGGGCAGAAAAAAGCCAATCATTCCGTGAACTTTGGGGAAAACCGAGCTGCTTTAACAGCAGAGCCTGCAGTAGCCACCAAAGATACCGCCTGCCATCAGAGTAACGGAGGTTGTCATTTGTGTGTTTGTAAAGCTACCTCCCTCCCAAACTACCCAGGGGCTCGCAGGACCCACCGGTGGCAGTCGGCGCGTTCGGTTAGGGGCTCTCCGATCCGTTTGCAGTCAGGTTTCAGCAGCACGAAATAAGGTTACACCCTGCCCTTCGCATGCAAACACCGCCAAAGCAGAGAGCGGCTCTCAGGTCATTAAGCAAGCAATCCTCTACACGATTTCAGTACACAACGCGTTGTCCTTCAGTATCACATAGCCGAAGGTATACCACCTAACATTTTACCAGCTCCAGAGGAGGTTTTTGGGTGTAGCACGTAACATTCGTATCTTCCCCGCAGTACTTCACATCTCCCCGTGTGCTCCATTTCAACGCGTACACTACCTCGCTCTCCTCCTCGTCCAAAGCGGCACAATTAGCAAGGTTTAACGGCTCTATAACCACCCGGCCATCAACAACACCCTTCTCCAAGCGCGCACAGCTTACAAGCCGAGCGGATACAATTTCTCAGGGTTACTTGAGCAGATGGATGCTGTCAGAGTAAGCAACGCAGGTCGGTTACAAAGAACCGCGAGAGTTTTGGGGCAGCAAAATCCACATTTTCCCCAATGTATGCCCTTATAGTAAAGGTTTATGAAAGAGGCACAAATCCTCCCCCCGGGACAGTCCCACAACCCGGGTGAGTTTGAGTGACCACTGGATGTCACTATTGCTTTAACCACGGTTGCAAAATTACCCCATAAATGCACAACACGTCAGCGCGGACCACCAGAAATCAATTCACGGCAACTTGTTTTCACTACACAGAAGTTTATTATGAAAGTTAAACATACAACACAAAAAGTAGCAAAAGCAATCCTGTAGCTTAAGGCAACTCTTACAGGAGATGAATTCAAGAAAGATGATGCAACTTCAGTTTAAATAGAAATTATGAAAAATATCAAATTGCATCAATAACTTAAAATGCACTTTAAAAAGTCTGCGCTAACCAGCGGAGGGTAAGGGCTTGTGATCTTAATGCCAGCATTAAGATATCGAAAGCAGCAGAATGCTAAATGATGATAGGGAAAGTTCAGTATTTACACAAAGATAGCAACTTTAATATCTGATAGCATCATTTCCTGTGTACTTATGGTTTAAAACCGCTGTCTGAAACGTTAGGAAAACCTTTTAAAATAAAACTTCAGACTATTCCATCAAAAATACACAGATGGCGGAGAAGATCCACGGCGAGGGATGCGTGCGGATGCGTGCGTGTGTCCCTTAAATAACTCATTGCAGAAACACTTTAGAAAAATTATTTCTTTGGGGGAAGAAGAGCAAGAAGAATACGTGGCCAAAGAGTGAAAAAGGTTACTGTCTTTCAGGTGAATCACATTTAAATTGAAGTATCAAAATATTTCTATTTGATGACATTGTCACAGTTTACAGTTATTGACATTTTAAGTGAATGTTAAATATTCATATTATTAACATACAAAGATTCTCCTTCACATTGACATCTGCTTACATTTTTGCAAGACCTCTTTTACATCGATTGTTTTGCCATTAACGAGGAATGTAATTATCTCAGCTCTAGAATTTAAGAGAGATTCAACTGTTCCAACCATACGGAATTTCTGCCTTCAAAATCATTGTCAAAAAACTGAAATCAGATCACCTATTTCAAAAAGGCATTGAAGTGACGTTTCGACTAATCAGGCTGTACAGGAAGCACCACATTTTAACAAAGCCAAATGACATCATCATTTCCAATCCGTTTTCTTCAAATATTGGATGCAATGAAAGATTTGGAACAAGTCCATTCCCCACCACCCCAAACAAAACAAGGTAATTCACACAAATTAACTCATCCCAAATCTTACCCTGTTGGAAAACGCAATATATACTGCAATGTAGTCTTAATTTGCATAGGAGTTAACAGAAGCGTCCTATGCGCAGCATGAGATTTTCTGCACACCACCTCATCTCGACTTTTCACCCTTCAGCACAACTTTACAAAAAGCCTAAGATATAAAATATACTTAAAGCAGCTATCTTAAACATGATTTAATACATATCACCCTGGCAGCTGATCACTTTTGTTCCCAGTTTAACGCGCTGTTGAATCTGATTGTAGAGTTGCAGTACCCCTTTTAAGAACTATTTAAAAAAATCCCTGAATAAAACAGAAGCCAGCCTGCGACTTCCTATGAGTTTCAGTAAAGTACTATATATACAGGGGGATAATAACCACCCAAACTCACTCGGTACAGAATAAAATCCAAGACAGATACTAGGACAGAATGTATTAATGCGTGAAAATATATATTTTAAGGTTTCATCGTTTAAGAAGTGGAACCAATGAATTGTTAGCAGTGAAGAGAATACTGCAACTGTAACGTTTACAAACCCACAAAGTTTGAAAACCGATTCCAACAGCTCTGATTCACTGGGTTTAGCTTGGAAATAATGCAAAATAATGTCAGCAGTTTTAAGAAGGTCTTGCAAATTTAGGGAAAAAAAGAAAACTGAAAGATAAGAATGCGTATCTAAAATAAAGCAGGAGCACAATAAGGACAATCAAAATTCCAAAAGCCCATATTAAAAAAATTAAGCTTGGAATGCATTGGCTTCCAGCAGTTTACAAAAAAAAAACACACAAAAAAACCCCCCAAAAACAAAAAAGAGAAGTTTTAAATCTGTAATATCTTGACCTATTTTTAAGTGACAAATTTTATTACAGTTGAGAAAAATGGTTTTATAGCTGCAGAAGTTTCCATTTCACTAAAATAGTGCCAACAAAAATAAGTTTGCATAGAAAAACAAAATTTCAAATTGCCACTGGCTACATGCTTAAAATGGGAAATGCAGGTATTGTAACATAAACATAGTGCAAACCATGGCAGTTCATGGTGATTTTGACTGCCGCAGGTCAGGAAACAGACCATAGTATACCCAGTTATCACAGTTTCTGGTCTTTTATTAAATCCTTTGCCAAGTAGAAGCAATGCATGTGTGCAGACCCGTGGTACGCCTGCTGCTGTTGATTAACGTAGTTTGAGATCGTCGCCACTTCCTAGGTTAGATCCAGGACTAGGGTCTTGTTGTCTTCTTGCCTGCATTAATAAACACAGAGTTAGGATCAAAAAAAAACCAAAAAAACCCACACAACATTAGAAGTTATCAGTTTAGTTTATTTCTTCAGGGTATTAACATGACTAAGACCATACCCAATTTTAAGGCAGAAACTTTACATTTCAAGCAGTAACCAATGCATTAATTTTTAACATCAAAACCATTCTTTCTCCCTCAATTCAGAAATCCCCCAGAAGCGACAGGAATCTCAGAGGAGGGCTGTGGACCCAGCAGCCAGGCACCATCCTCTCGCTGGAGGGGCAAAGAGCTCTGGCTCTGCCTCTCCATCCGGCCCAGGTGCAGGCAAGGTTGGCACTCTTGGGAGCGGGTGTGCGCACACACACACGTGCACACTCAGAGGCACTTCAACAGCACTTTAATCAGCAAGACACTTTCAGAATAATTAGGCCACAATTTGGTGTCTCTTCCTCCAAAACACATTGTTTTTCCTGTGAAATTCCTTTCTGTTAACCTGTTCTGTAAATTCACTCAGGATCAAGATTTCTGGGGAGAAAGGCTGCGATGTGAGATGGCAGAGTATGTTACATCATTCCCAAATAAATTCCCCCCTCGGTATGTTTATGTGGTAAACATTTAATTTAGCTTTTTCTGGAAAAAAGAGACTTGTAACATGGTAACACACCAGCACAATCTATAGATTGACACACATTTTAACGCTTCTTAGAAGCTGGGGTTTTACTGCAGCATACATTTTATTTCTTTGGTGCACCTGTAAAGTTAGCAATAATACAAAGCTGAGGAAACTCTGGTATTTAGGATTGTGTCCCTGGATTAAAAAAATAAGTAACTTATGTTCTTTAAATAAATGATTCTGTCAAACAGTTTGAGTTGATGGCAATTTAAAGAGGAAATTCTTAACTGATGGTCAGTCATAGTAGTATCAGTCACAGTAAGAGACATCGCTACCTACTTTCGCTACCTGTACATGGGCAGGCTGTGAAGTAAATACTTCAAAACATTCATAGACTTAAACTGTAAAGCAATACGTTGATTCAAGGAACATCTGATATATGCTAGCTAGTTTTAAGACATTTTAGTATCGACATTTGTATTTAATATTTACAGACTGACTAGCTGGCACCCTGGCCCGTAATTACTGTGCGACCCAAACAGTATCAGGGCCATGCTCTTGGCTGGTGGAAGGCATCACTACGCAAGCGATACTCAGTGTACCTCCATTAATTTCACCAGGCGCAATAACCCGAACCACTCAGTGCTTCAAAAAAAACGCCCTCCAAAAAAAAAAAAAATGCAAACCAAGCAACCGCTTCCCTCCTTTGAAAGGTTTCTGGTATTTTGTCGAAAGAGGCGGAACCAGACTGAACTCAGGCAGTTGTACCACCAAAATGCGCAGTTTAAGCAACCACCACGTTTACACCATCACACCAAACAATACAAGAACGTCAGTGCTGCTCTTAGGTGTTCCCTGGGCTCTTCTGAGTCACGTTTCCTGACAGAGAGGAAGCCTTCCCGCCAGCATGGCAGTTACCCGGCTCATGGTGCGATGCTTGCTCGCTCCCGTACCAAACGGCACGCGAGCCGCCTCTGCCAGCTCCCGAACCCTCCGGCATGTACTGCCAACATCATTGTCTCTAATTAAGACTTTTCTTTCTCTCTTCACTTCTTCCTCCCTTATCTACCCTTCTTGTCTGTCTAATTTTATGCTCCCAGTGCAAGTGATTAGCTTCACCCAAACAGAGAAGTGCTGCTCCCGTCTCCTATTTAAATACCAATTTAAAGTTATGTTTTCCTTTCACGTGCAATGATCCCATTCTGAGGCACACCGAGTTCATTCAATAAATCCCTCTAGGAATCAGCATGTTTCCAGAGCAGACAATTCCCTCCTGCACTTTCTTTAGCGGACGTATTGCCATTATTGTTTTGGAAACCCCCTCGCTATTTTAAATCTCCCAGTTGCTACCCACTACGTTGATGTATCCAGTACCGTTGCCGGCTGCATTTCAGATATTTAGGGGTCGGATCTTCCACTCGCTCTGTTCAAGCCACATCGGTCATGTTCTGAGCGAAGGAAACAATCTGCTTTTCCTACATGCAGAACAGCTCTGAACACAACAACCGACAGTGCTGCTGGTGCACAAACCCACAGATTTCTCAGTAATCTTTCTGAGGAATCGCGTTAAAACAAGCAGCTGTAATCACATACAGCGCTGAAGGTTTTAATTGCTAAAGGGCGTACTCCTTTTGCAAACTGCCCTCTTTGTAGAGATGCACAGTATCGGGAGATGGCATTTACTTGGGATTTTCACATTATTTCCAAAAGCCAAACCATTCAGCTTTAGTGGAAAAGCTAATGAGGGAAAGCCTGCACTGTTCTGTGTTTTTTTTTCCTTCAACAGAAAAGCAAACTGTGAAGATTTTTCTTAATACAAAATGGTTGTTCAACAAGTCCAAATAGATACTTCCACACTAATTCAAGAGTTGTACTAAGATTAACCAAAGGGTAACAGTTCCACTTTGCATACTTTTCTCCTCTTGAGCAGACTGCAACAAGATTTCTTCTGGTTTTAACCACTGCCTCTTTCTTCTAAAAGGAAACAAAGGCACACGCTGTCTTTAAGAATTACCAAAATCTTACTTATACCAATCTAGTTACCAATTTTGTACTTGATAGGCATTTTTACACTTAACTAAAAAACCCTAGCAAGTTGACTGCTGCCATACTACTGCTCTAAAAGCAACAGAGTTTCTTCTTCAGAAAACGAATCACATGCACAGCAATTTTATTGTCAAATTTCAGTTAAGACTCCAAGGTATGGGCATATGGTTGCATTTATGCTCTGCCAAAAGTGGCCTTTTCTTTCAAAACACATGAAAGAATTCACATGATCCGTGACCTCATTGCTACTTGTAGAGTTTGCAGAAGCCACTACTGAACAACTACCAGATTTGTCCTTTCAAGTGATATGCAAAAAATTACCCTCCAATGTACCGAAAGCAATCATTACAATATCTTACACTAGTATATGTGGATAAAGGTGTAATTTTGCATTTCACTAAGTGGGGATTTACACAAGCAACTGCAACATGTTGGAATGACAGCTCCGTCTCAGACGCCCTCCTTTACCTGTGCTATACCACTACGCAAGAATATGTACACATGAAACGTGCTTATTTTGTCGGTCACCATCCTGCCAAGGTGCACGTGCACCGTATGCAACAACTACAACCGCGCTTTACGTGCTGCGAACAAAAAATAAAAGCACCATATATGTATCTAAAAAATAAAAACACTCATAAAAGACAGGAGAAATCGCCGTGTACGTGGGCAGCAAGCACACTGCGGAGCATCGGGCACTGGGTGATATTTTTGTCTACTGACAATGAGCAAAATACAACTTTCCTAAGAAATGCCACAAGATCCTTAACACTCGCTTGCAGGAGTGTGACTACCAGTATGGTAGTATCTGGTAGTTCTCCTCAGCCTATTACAGGAAGCTAAAAGTTCCCTTTTATAGATGTAAACCAGCAATTTCCAGAATTCTCTCGATTTGGGGTCTCCACATAAGCTAACCAATCCTCTGAATCGCAGTATTTGCTGTAATTTTTGAAATGTGTACCTTATGATGCCACACAGAAGCATCAGAATTACTCAGTGAATTATGAGCTCAGCTTCTCAAAGATTAAGGAGACTTGCTTCAATTAAGAAACCTGCATCTATCTTTGCCACAGGGAAATGGAATACTCTGCCATGAGTCACGCATAACGAGTCATGAGGAAGCAGTAGTTACTCATCTCAGCGTATTTCATTTTTCAGTCAAACACTGATTTTAAGTTTGAAGGAACACCACTTCAAGTGTTATTCATCTGCTATTTAGTGAAAGGATAACAAATATTTACTGATGAGAAAAACTTGTAAATAGTACACAGATGCCAGCACAGTTTTAATTTTCCTAAAACCGAATGTATTTTAACCAACACTGCCAGTTTCCTTCCAAATATCCTGAAATGGAATAGTTAACACGATGGACACATAGGGAGTTTCGATACCCAAAAATACTTCGCACTCAGCTTTCAGCACATGAAGCCATGCAAATCTTCTGCAATACGGAAGGAATTATAACTGGCCACAAGCCATTTAAAGCCTCCAACGTTGGTATGATGACCGACTGAAAGAATTGCAGGAACGCATCTGGCAAAAAAAACCCAACCCCAACATTTCAAAGCCTCCTGTAACATGCTACTCTAGATTTATTCACACTGAACTATATAAGGCTGATACCATAGGGGTAATAACATACTAACAAACAAGAAGAAAAGTTACTAACAAATACATTTTGACTGGAGGGTAAACAAATACAAAAAGTGTCCCCTCCAGTACTCTTACACCTATTCTCTCTCAAACTCTGTTATCTCTGCGCTTTTCCCAAGCCTAAATATAGGCTAAGGCTAACTGGTATGGGCTGAGAGTCACAGCAAGAATGGTGCAGCACTACCTGTATTATATCCATTTTCTTCTTAATAAATAAGACGGCTTGAAGTCTATCAAATCATTAACTTAGAACTGCGACTCTTTTGGACAAGGATCATGTTGGGGCATTTACATCCGTTACTGGGGTGCTTGGCTAAGACAGACCTAAGAATAATGGCAATTAAGGAAGGCAGCACATGAGCAGTTCCTCCAGTTGCCAAGACAGTGGGACACCATCCTCCTCCTCCAGCCGCTCAATCCTGACCCACGCTTTCAAAAATGCCAATAAAACTCCTCAAGCTGGGCTTGAGAAAACATCTGTAACCACCCCCTTCCTGTGCATGTTCGGGGGCCTCCAGCATACCTACGGAAACCAACTCCTTTTACCACATGAGTTCATCAGGAAAAGATAACACAGTCCCACCGTGTGGTTTACACGATAGCTCTGAGAAAGCAGAACTGGGAAAGCCAGAGGTAAATTTAGTAAGGGGGGGGGGGGGGACAGGGTTGCCATGAAGATGGCCCTCCCTT